CTCCTGGGGGTTGCTGCTGGGGGGGCTCCTGAGCTGACTGTAGACTCAGCACCCGCTGGGTCGGGGAGAACTGCCCCAGGGTTTTCTCGGCTGCAGTCTGTGTGCAGGCAGATCACCGGGTCTGTTCCCGCCTTCCCCCGCTGTCAGTCCAGTCCAGCCTGCCTTAATTCAGGACCCACTGTCCTCGCAGTGGCCTCTCCACCATTCTCCCTGGCCATAATCCCATGTCCCTCCAATTCGTTCACACTGCCACCAACGGGGGCAATGAAACCCAAGGAGGGCTTCACGGCGGCGTACACTGTGCTGAGATTGCCCCGGGGTCTGCTGGGTCATCTTCTCCCATGGCAAAGACAATAAATAGAACCCAGTGAAGGGTGACCCGGAGCACCCCAGCATGTGGTAATTGAGTCATCTTGCTGGGTCTGAATTTCACGACTTCTTGAAGTGGCTGGTCCCCCTCATCAGGGGGTAAACCAGCCATCTGCTCAGCCACTGAGTGTCCACAAGGTTCCCGGTGCTCTTCTTTATGAGCACACAATGATTCTTATGAGGATCTTAAAAAAAAAAGATTGTGCAAAACAACCTTCAAGAAAGGAGAAACAACAAAGCCAGGAAGAGCCATTCATTTGAGCCTCTGCCTCCAAAACACGTGTATCCGGATAGAATCCGGATCACAAATGCTTCCCAAACGTGTCGAGCTGGAGGTTGGACAGGCATTCCGCGTCCACCATATCTGAATGCCAGCCGTCGTTTGTGTTTTGCACATTTGCTCTAATGGACGTGGAATTTCATTTTTTCTGTTTTTTCCAAAGTGGTTTCTCTCCCAGTCCTGAGAAGGGCAACTGGCCCTCCCTGCTCCCTGAGCGGTGATGACCTGCAGGCGTCTGGCCCCATCATATTACAGAGGGGGCTCCCTGTAGAAGACATCTTTTTTTTTAACAGTTTTATTGGCACTTAATACACATGTCACACAATTCAATAGTTCTATCATAACAAGAAGAGTTGTACAATCATTACCACAATCAATTTTAGAACATTTTCTTCCACCACCACCCACCCTACCCCCAACCCCCAAAGACATCTTTTTCAGAAACCAGGCTGAGGTGAATTAGTACTCTAAGAGAAGAAATGTGTGTGCACGCACACACATGTACCATATATGTGGAATTTGCTTATATGCAATTTTTACTGCATATATGCAATTGGTGCTATTACTAGTTGGACCATCAATAATTCTATTTCCTGTATATGGTGCTTTGAAGTCCCTGGGTGGTCCAAACAGTGGGCTAGCTGAAAGGTTGGCGGTTCCAGTTCACCCAGAGGCATGTTGGAAGAAAGGCCTGGTGATCTACTTTTGGAAAATCGATGATTGAAAACCGAATGGAGCACACTTCCTCTCCAGAACACATGGGGTTGCCGTTAGACAGAATCGACTTGACCAGCCGTTTTGTTGGTTTATTATTTTAGGAGCACTTTCCTGTTGGTGGTTTCATGAGTTCTGAACTCTGCAGAGCACGGCGTGTCCTCGCCAGTTTCCCGGGGAGAACGTGGGGTGCAGGGATGAGATGATTTGTGCTCGGTCCACAGCCAGTACAGGGCAGAGCTGGGAGGAGGTCCAGGGCTTCTGGGTTCTTACTGACATACCATGATGACAAGAATTCGTTGTAGACGCTCCTAAAATCCAACACCATGTAACACAAAGTAGAATTAAGAATATGCCACGATTAAAATGTCTGACGCAATGTTCTTTAATTTGTGAACCCAAGTGCCATTTTTACTTGAAAAGGGAGGACTATTTTTCTCTCATGCTTTGAGTCATAAAAGTGTGCATAAAAAAATCCTTTTCTCTTGCTCTTTCAGGATATAGAAAATCAACTGGCCATGAAATCCAAATCCTTGGATGAGCTGAGAGAAAGCCATCTGACTTTGGAGAGCGGCTCTGTACCGTTGCTAGAGGATACAGCATCCGCGATTGATGGTTTATTTCAAAAGAGGACCAGTGTTATCAATCAGGTAGCAGAATTCATGTGAGGTGTGCTGTTCACTGCAAGCCTTCTTGTATTTTGTTTGCTGCTGTTGGTATTGTTTTCTCACAGAGACTCTGTCTAACTCAAAGCAAAAAGTTGCCAAGAAAAATACTAAGACAAAAGACACCCTGGTTTTTTGCCAGGGGATAATTAGCAAGGCTACCCAGTTCAGTATCACCAGCAGGCTGGAAAGCCACTTGTCTGTCTGTTTAGATTAATGTGTTCACAAAGGCACAGAGGTCTCCAACAGAACCCCAGTGGTCGTTTCCCGGACAGATAATCAGGAACAGCTCCGAAGAAGCTCAGATCCCCTGATACTGGGGGATGCCGCAGGGAAGGGGCCGGCTTGTTTCATGTCCCCGGTAAGACATGATGGGATGTGGTCAGCATAGAACTCCAGAGGTAGAGAGAGACCTAGCACTGACACGAGGAGGGGAGAAGTGTGTGCGATGTCTGGTGATTTGTACGGAAGGCACTTTAAAGTCTGCTTTTAGCCTTTCCTGGAGAGAGTCACCAAAGGCCTCTCTACACATCGCAACCAGGCCCTTTCCCCTCCACAGAGGGTGAACATTCTCAATGCCAGCTATAGTAGGTCCATGTTTCCCAGCACCGAGAACCCTCATCGGAGATTCACTGGGAAATGTGTCATCTACTTGGAGCCATTTGTTCCAGGTGGACTTGGTAATGATCTGTGTAAATAAAACCCAAAGGCGTAGCAACCCTCATCTGTCTTTCCAAATAAGATTACATTCTGAGGTTCTAGGGGGTTGCTATCCAGGTAACTCGAGATGCCAAGATCATGGAATGGGGAAGGAATATCCACACATAAAGTAGGACCCTACTTTCACATAATATACAAAAATTAATTCAAAATGGACCAGAGTCCTAAAACTCCGAGAGGAATACTTAAGTTTAAATCTTTGTGGCCTTGGATTAGGCAAAGATGTCTTCCTATGATACCAAAAGCACAAGTAACAAGAGAAAAATATGATAAATTCGACTTATCAAGATGAACACATTGTCTTTTAAAAGGGGACCATCCAAACAATGAAATGACAACCCACAGACTGGAAGAACATATTTGTAAATTATATATCCAATGGGGATCAATAGTCTCCACTCTAAAACGAACTCCTTCAACTCACTAATACAAGAAATTCATTTTAAAAATTGACAAAGGATTTTAATAACCACGTCTCTAGATATATTCAGATGGCCGAGAAGCACATGAAAAGATGCCGTATCGTGAGCTACCCGGGAAAGGAAACTCAGCACCACAGAGAGATCCTACTTCAGTCCAGCAGGATGACTTTGATCACAAAGACGGACAATAACATGCGCTGATGAGAATGTGGAAAATGTGGGCCCCAGACATTGCGCAGGGTATCTGAAATAGTGCAGGTGCTTTGGAAATCCAGCCAGTGATTAAAAAAATGTAACGTGTCATATGACCCAACAATCCCACTCCTCAGTATACACCAAAAATTGGAAGACATATATACACACACACACACACACACACACAGTATTAGTCTGGGTTGACTAGAGAAGCAAACCCAGAGACACTCATATGTGTATAAGAAAGAACTTTATATAAAAGAGCAATTGTACATTGAGAAAACATCTGAGTCCAGTCCATATCAAGTCCCTAAGTCCAATATTACCCATATGTCCGAGACCGGTCTATAGATTCCTCTTCAGGCTCGTGCATGCAACACAGGCAATGATGCCACACGCAGGAAGATCACGGGCCTGTAGGTGGAAAGCCTTGTAGAGCCCGTGATGGTGGAAGCATCTCAGTGCTGGCATGGGACTCCACGTGGCTCCTCCAGCTCCAGGACTCTGGCTCCATCAGCATAGCTCCGGGTGGCTTGTCAACAGGAATGTCCTGCCTCCAGGGAGGAAGACAGGAGTTCCCAGAATCCTCCAGAGAAGGCCATGCCCACACAGAGGCACTATTGGCTATGACCTGATAGTTGACAGGAGATTATATAGCTGCCATATGTACCAAAAACTTGTACATGGGTGTTTTACAAACACCCATAAAAGATAAAAAGCAATTTGGAAGCAATCCAAATGTCCATCAACAAACTGTAACTTAGCTTTGCAATTGGATGGTATTCAACCATAAAAGGAATGGATGCAAACCAGAACAGGGATGAAACAGGAAGTCATACCAATTGAAAGAAATCAGTGGCACGTGTGTTGGGTGCTTCTCTTGATGTGACATGCCCACAAGCAGCTAAGGACCGAGATGGAACCAACCTGGCAGCTTCTAACACCAACAGCGACTCCTGCGGTCTCCTGATGAAAGTGTGCTTGTTGGCCGTTTGTGTACCTTCTTCACAGAATCGCTCATCAGGCCCTTTGCCCATTTTAAAACCCAGGACTACTTATCCTTTTTCCTTCAATTTGTAAATTCTTTCTATATTCTAGATAGTATCGTGCTATTTTAATTGAATAACAAGTGCTTCAACTCCAGCTCCTTTCATGATTGCCAGAGCTTAGTGAGTAAGACAGATACTATTGCGATTCCTCCTACTTCCCACCTGCCTGTCATTTTGGCTGAACATGTTCATCTTCAGGGTGTGCTTGCCCTGTGGTAGTAAGCAGATGTAAGGGCTCAGTTACGTTAATAATATAGTTCCTAATGTTTTCAGAGCATTTTCATAGGCACCATCTTATTTAGTATTTCATTTATTGTCTCCATTTTGTGGGTGAGGAAGCAATTGGGTGAAATTAGAGCTCTTTGCATTCATCCATTTTCAAACGTAACCTTCTCTGATAACGTCTTCATTCATAGGCCGACCCTTCCCACCTCCAGTTAATTATGGCAGGTCTTCCAACATTCTGTATATAAGGGACTTAACCATTTGTCAGGGGTACCGTCATTGGAAGGAAACAAGTTGCGAGAGCAGACGTATCTTCTCCGAGATTTTCCCAGCATGTTCCTCCTTGTCCTACAGGTCCACCAGCTCAAAGCCTCCATGCAGTCAGTTCTACAGGAGGGGAAGATGTATGAGGAACTCTACGATGAAGTGACTCTGTTGACAATCCGATTCTGGTACTGCATGGAGCACAGCAAGCCTGTGGTGGTGTCCTTGGAGGCCTTGAGGTGCCAGGTGCAAAACCTCCAGGTAAGTGAACCAGCGCATGGCACAGCGCATTATTGGCCGACCATCTAGAGCAGAAACAAGCATAGTAGTGACATCGTAGCACGGAAAAATTCTGCCTTTGTGCTCACCAGAGGAGGGAGGCACCAAACAGGATGTTAATAGCAGCATCAAGCTATGCCTTGGAATTCCAAAATAAGCAGAATGAATCACCTGAGCTAAATCAGTGGAACTTTGTAAAACGATCATATTTCCACATTTAACTCACCTACAGTGCTCATTTAATGTGCAAACGGACTGCTCAGTTTGTAAAATCCCTATTGTGCATTCATTATCTGCATAAAATGCACTGTGAATAGACTTTTCCTTGGTCCTATTATTTCACAATTTAAAATTTTGATGTTTTTGTTTGTTTGTTTGTTTTTAGTGTATCATATACAGTGTACTTTTAAATAAGGAACCCACCCTAATTTTCCTCGTCACAGTTCTTCGGTTAAGGTGTAATGTGTTATATTGTGGGGCAGCAGGTGTTCAGAAGTTACCTTCTCTGCATGTAACCAAGACCGTTTTCTCTGTCCTCCTATGTTGTCATAGGCTCTTCAAGATGAAGCTGAAAACAGTGAAGGGAGTTGGGAGAAACTCCAGGGGGTTATTGGTAAACTCAAAAATCACTGCCCCTCAACTGCTGAAATAATTGAAGAGAAATACCAAAATACTCACACAAGGTACTCTGAAGATAGCGATTTGAAGTTTTGTTTTGTTGTGTGTCATGGAATTGATTCCAACTCGTAGCAACACTATAGCGCAGAGTGAGAGTGCTTCTGTATGTTCCCTGGGCTGTCACAGAATGACAGGTCTACCTTCCTGTAGAACCACTAATGACTTAGAACCTCCAACCTTTTGGTTACCCTTCAGAGCTCCTTAATTTCAATATTAGTTCGGGTAGCTTTATCTTATTGACATGTATGCCTGTAAATTATTATTGCCTTAATCATATGAGATGACTAGTTGCTATTTTTTTTTAATCATTTTATTGGGGGCACTTACAACTCTTATCACCATCCATCCATCCATCCATCCATTGTGTCAAGCACATTTGTACATTTGTTGCCATCATCATTCTCAAAACAATTTTTTTCTACTTGAGCCCTTCATATCAGCTCCTCATTTTTCTCCTCCCTCCCTAACAAACCCTTGATAATTCATAAATTATTATTATTTTTTCATGTCTTACCCTGTCCGATGTCTCCCTTCACCCACTTTTCTGTTGTCCGAATCCCAGGGAGTGGGTTATATGTAGATCATTGTGATCAGTTCCCCCTTTCTCCCCCACCTTCCCCTTCCCCTCCTGGTATCGCTACTCTCATTATTGGTCCTGAGGGGTTTATCTGTCCTGGATTCCCTGTGTTTCCAGTTCTTATCTGTATCCATGTACATCCTCTGGTCTAGCCAGATTTGTAAGGTAGAACTGGGGTCATGATAGTATGGGAGGGAGGGGGGAGCATTTAGGAACTAGAGGAAAGTTGTATGTTTCATCATTGCTACATCGCACCCTGACTGGCTCGTCTCCTCCCCGAGACCCTTCTGTAAGGGGATGTCCAGTTGCCTGCAGATGGGCTTTGGGTCTCCACTCCGCACTCCCCGTCATTCACAATGATATGATTTTTGTTCTTTAATACCTGATCTTATTGACACCTCATGATCACACAGGCTGGTGTGCTTCTTCCATGTTTCATACTATTCTAGTATCTTCTGCTTCCAAGGATCTAGTCCCAATTAGATTCAAGATTAAGAAGGTTGTTGAATGCCTTTTGTAAATATTTGATATAATCTATCTAGAAATGTCCTGCTTAGAGGTCCAGTGTAGGCACATCTTCAGGGGGCATAGACGAAATTGCCAGTGCCATTCTCAGGGACACCAAACTTGGGGACAGAAACACATTAAAGGATAACATCAGATGGATGAATCCACAGGAAGCACTCCAATATCACTAGAAACATTGTGAGATGGGAAAAAAAGAGGCTGTTAGGATGCATCTCAGGGAGACTAGCTCTGTGGCTGGAAGGAATTCCATGAATTGCTTGTGGTGGAATAGGAACGTTCGTGCCAAGAAGGGGGCCCTAGCTAATGACAAAGCTTTGATTTTGCTGAATGAGATGTGATAGTTGGGGCTGGCGCTGGGTTGTTCTAGAGAGTGGTGCTGCCTTCAATGTCCTCCCTGCTGTCAGCCTCTCCTCTAAGTCAGCTTGAACACGTATTTAAAGGGCCAGCAAATTGTAGGTCTTGTCATGGAGTCCTCAGCTCTTGATTCAATCCTCAAGAGAAGGTGGGAAAGAAGAGGCACGAGGAGGAGCAGTGAGATGGAGCTGATTTCACATCCACTGTTAGAGCTGCACTCAAGTGTACAGGGCTACACCCTGCTACTAAAAGAACCCAGTTTGATCCTTACCATAGCTATGCATCAGTTGTTGGCACAAAAACACATTGGGAGGCATGCTACAAAGCAACTAAAGAAAATAGTGCTAATATACTTACCTTAGGTATGTCTAGACTGAGAGATGACAGGTAATTTTTTCCCTCTTATATGTATCTAGATATATAGAAATATATAAAAGCATACATGCTTTATGGGGTTTTCTTTTTGTTTACAATTAGCATTTATTGTATTTATAATTAGAAAAAAATCTTGTAAAAAAGTCCTGAATTTTTAAAAAAAATTTTTTAAGCCCTGATTTAAAAAAAAAAAATTTAATATGTGAAAGTAAATGATTGTGCCATCTTTTTCCTTTTTCATTTTTTCTCAAGGTTGAGGACGCTGTGAAACAAGCATTCTCCTGTGCTATGTGAGGATGTAAATGTTCAGATGAATTCAGGAAACAATTTGGGAATATATCTCAATAGCCTTAAAAATATTTATGTACTTAGATCCAGTAATTCTATCAGAAATCTAATGCTAAAATCTAAAACTATACTAAAAGATTTTTGCAAAAAGATGTCTCCAAGCATCAAATTGACTAAAAAATTTGTGAACTGCTGAAAATGGGAAATTTAAACTAAGTAGACATACCATAACTGCAGCCACTTAAAACTAAGTTTATTCAACCTCTATTAATAACATGGGAAATTAATTTTTTAAATAATTGAAAGGGAAGGGAAGCAAAATACTATAGCCTGGGTGTGAAATGAAATCCATTTTCTTTTCATTTTTACTTAAGGAAATGGTTTTATAATTAGAAAACCTATGTTCTGTGACTTAAGTACATTTGGTGAACATGCCCCGCTGCTAACTGGAAGATCTGAGCACCTCCAAAGGAAGTCCTGGTGTTCTACGTAAAAAATAAAAATAAATCAGCCACTGAAACCTAGGGAGTGCAGTTCTTTTTTTTTATTTTAATCATTTTATTAGGGGCTAATACAACTCTTATCACAATCCATACATACACACATCATTTGTATAAGGCACATTTGTACATTCATTGCCCTCATCATTCTCAAAACATTTGCTCTCCCCTTAGCCCCTTGCATCAGCTCCTCATTTTCCCCCCCTCCCTTATGAGCCCTTGATAATTTATAAATTATTATCTTGTCATATCTTGCCCTGTCCGACATCTCCCTTCGCCCACTTTTCTGTTGTCTGTCCCCCAGGGAGGAGGTCATATGTAGATCCTTGTGATCGTTCCCCCTGGGAGCACAGTTCTACTGCACGTGGGCTTGTCATGAGTTGGAATCAGCTTTGCGGGAGCTCGTTCATCTAAAGACACCTTTGTAAAGTCGGAGCCTTTTCCGC